CTCTCTCTCTCTCTACAAAAAAAAAAAAAAAAAAAAAAAAAAAAAAAGTCCTTCAAAACCGACTCATACCTTTTTTTTTTTCTTCCCCAAAAGAATCAAGGCTCCTCATATTATTATTATTTTAGAAAAAGAAGCTACTGCTCCTGTTGAACGGTAACACGGGGAACAAAGATGAGAGGAATGTTTCTTGATTCTTGTCTGATGTACTTGGGGAGTAGCCCTCTTACTTATACATCTGGGGAGGTCTTGACACGTGATAGATCTATCACCTGATCACATCCGACAGCTCCGACACCATCATCTATCAAGCATAATCGTCGGCTCGCTTAGGTGGGCCTCCTTTCAGCCTTTCAGTCTTAGTCGGTATAAGCGACTGCGGATCGGAAGCGAGTGCGGATTTTTCGAATGTATTAGAAATTTTTATATACTATAGCAATTAATTACTATTACAACTTAAAATTATTTGTATAAATAATTAATCTGCGATTATATCTTCTTTCGAAACATCCGAAATCGTATCATTTGATAAAACATTTGATTATCGATTGCTATTTTCAAAGTCTGATTCGTCTTTTACTTTACGCAACGAATCGTTTGAATCTCTACTATTATAAAATTGAAACTATCGCTATCGATATTAATACTAGAAAAAGGAAAAACATCTTGCTTTAAAAAAGGGTCTCTAATAATATCGGTTATAATTATCAGATCATCGTTATCGTAAGAAAGTTCGGGTTAAGAAAGAGTTGGTCGAGGAATACCTTTTTTTACGAAGCCGCAAAATTTAACTTTTAAAAAGTTATTGCATCTATTAAATCTCTTTCGAATCGAGAATTAAAATGAGCATTTTATTGTCGTCTTTAATGATTAAGCTTATAGCAAAGCGTTTTCGTATAATACTTTTACGCTCGCGCTTAACTATGCGATTCCTTTACGATATTTAATATCTTTTTCTTTTTTTTAAATCTTATCGACGCGTTGTTATTTTGCAGCAGATTCAAGATTTTCTTTACTTTACTGCTTAATAGCAAGCTTGTTATCGATTAATAATACGATTTTAAATGTTTCGGAAAAAGATATGCTCGTAAATTAATTATTTATATAAATATTCTTTAGTTAATTATAATAGTAATTGCTATAATATATAAGAATTTCTAATACATTCGAAAAATCCGCACTCGCTTCCGATCCGCAGTCGCTTATACCGACTAAGACTGAAAGGCTGAAAGGAGGCCCACCTAAGCGAGCCGACGATTATCAGAAAGCCCACAATCCAATTCAATCCAATTCAATTCAATCCAATTCAAATCAATCCAATTCGAGATAAGATAAGATAAGATAAGATAAGCGTAAAACCCCAAACTAAACCTCAGCCAAAGCCAGCCCCGGCCCGGCCCCTTGCTCGCTTGCTCGCTTCTGACGTAGCTCCGCAGCGCAAAAGAGGAAGGACCGTTATGAGAAAAGAATAAAAAAAGACGGAGAATACCATGTGCAAGGCCGGCGATGAGGAGCGGGAGCCGGTAGCGGGTTGTAGTGTAGCCTACAATCTTGCTCCGAGTCTCGTTGAGAGAGATATCCGAAGAGCCAGAGCGATCATCCGTCGCCGCCCTGGCGGGTTGACACCTCGGATATTCTGGGGTGGTGTCTGGCTATGTCGCGTTGGTTTTCACTGCCGGATCGATCGGGAAGGTGAGATAGGTCGTGGGTGGAATGAAGGATGGTTCGCGAGGATGGAAAGTAGGACAGGCGAAGGGGGCTGGCACGGGATAGATTGTTTGAATATTATAGTAAGACAAGTCAAGAAGAAGGAAGTGTGACGAAAAGAAAAACTCCAACGACCGGAGTTGGCCATGGACGGCTAGCTACCCAGCCGACGAAACCCGTTACCAGCTCCCTTCCACGGCGCGGACGTTGATCGTGAACGACCACAAGCCTTTATCATCCACGGCATGAACGATTACCTTCCGAGCCACATCGCGCCTTCGAGTAGTAGTAGCGACCGTCGTATTGGTGCGTCCCTGCAAGAAGCAGCAGGCCATCAGTTATTATTCCTCTCTTCCGACCGTACGCAGTGAGAGAGATAAAAGAACAATAACTTACCTTCGGGACACGCGCACCTCGAACGTCAAGATACGGATCCCCCGCATCATCAGTCCCGATGGGGTATTGTACCATCACAGAATAGGCGGCGGCACCAGCAGCAGGTGACCAGCTGGCCTCGAAATCACCCGCGTCGTTCACTCTGCGCAGAGAGACGTCGGGGACTAGGGCGGGTCGCGTGACGGTGGCTCCGCCGTTGAAGACGGGAATTCGTCCGCTGGTGAAGGTCGACCTGGAGCAGGTCTTCGCTGTTGTGTAGAAGATCCAGGCCACGGGTGCTTGGCCTCCTCTGCAGACGTTGGTGAATTCACTATCGGAGATGGAGGTCAGCTAACTTGCTAACATGGATAGATAGATGTTCTGCTTCAGACAATGTGAATGAAAGATGGGAGGGGATATTATCGCCGATGGGATGGAAGCTTAGGAGAACAAGTTGATTGATGGATGGATTCAGAGAGAGAGAGAGAGAGAGAGAGAGAGAGAGAGAGAGACTCACTGCACAGCGGTGAAGGCCGAGCTACCCGGAAAGCGCGTGATAAAGTTGTTTCCGAGGGAAGGATAGAGCGGATCGCTGACGCCGAAGGTGTTGAAATCCCGGAATGGAGTCTGAGTCACGCGACTGCCATCTGCGTAGACGGCGTCGAACTTCCACATCACGGCAGTGTAGCGGTCCTTGGTCATGGCCAGTTGAGCGCCGCAGTTGCCGAGATTGAAGGCTTTGAAGTCAGAAGGCGGAGCGAGACCTGAGGGGCAGGTATATTCCCATTGTGTGCTCTGCCGGGTGCGCAGGGGGAGAAGTGCTGATGCGAGGGTGGAAGGCATCGATCCAGCGAAGATGGAGATAAGTAGGAGGAACTTCATTGTTATGGAACTGTTGCTTGCGGTGCGTTAATATCGATGGAGTTTTTCTGAAGTGAAGTGATAAGTAAATGAGCGAAAAGTTTTCGGGGTTATATAGCGAGCTGGACGCGAGCTGGACGGCGAGAATGCAAAGCCGAAATGTACGTTTGGACTCGAGCTCGTTCATCTGCAATTGCAGATGACGGCAGTGCTTGCCAAGATGGTCATTTGAGCGCATCGTAGGTCACATTCGACGAACATATCGCTCTTGGCTCTGAAGAGGTAAGACGGAGGACGATGGGAGCAATGGGAGCGATGTGAGCTTGTACACCCGCCACGCACTTGGCTAAGACACGGCATGTGATGCGGACTTGCCGATCTCGGTTCGCTCCGAGGTGAAGTGAAAACACGGAAAACACCAGCGAGAACAAAACCTCACAAGTTACTTCTCCGTCCAGACCACTACGTCTCCTCTGGTGCTTCCATTTTCTCTGGTGCGTCCTTCTTGCACGACTTGAGAAGCTATATATGTTTTGGCCGAGGACCGTCAACATGATCGTTTCCAGGCCAGAGAGCCTTGGAATGGTTACTAGTGAGACTAGTGAGACTGGTGAGTCTGGGCGGCAAGCTGACTGCCTCTCAGATAGCGGTGACGTCAATCTGTTGTGAAAGAAACTCGCCGCAAAACAGATCAATACCGATACATTCATTCCGACCAACCGGTAACACAAGAAGAAGAAGAAGAAGAAGAAGAAGAAGACGGAACCTTCGATCTGGCAGTGTAGACTTATTCTCCGGGTGGAACGAAGAGCCAATGTCCTAGATTGCATGCCGATTGGCGAGGAGATTGAGAGCCGGGATCCCCCAGGAGATATCTCCTCCCAAAGGAACGAGAAGTTCGCCATTTACGGAAAAGAGGATACATTTTCAAAAGTCTCCCTACTCCTCAGAAGCTCAGGAATCAAGCCCGGATACGCTCTAATTATGCATATCCTTGCGGATAAAGACGACCTCACTCAACTGAGAGTGATTGTTGGAACTGAGACTTCGGTTCGTTCTGAAACCAGTAACTTTGGTAAACCTTTGAAGCTTGGAAGCTTGGAATTGCGAAAACCTGATAGCCCGCCCATAAGGCCAGGCGAGAGTGGCGGTCAAGCGAGGAACAATGTTATAGCGAAGTGAGTCAGGCGACCATAATAGGTCAGGCCATGTGGCTGCTCAGTTTGCTATTCCGTTTTGTATCTCTCGAGTAGCTAGCTACATAGATAGCTACGATTCCACTTGGTTAGAGGTATGCAAAACCAACTGAACACACTCACAAACTGAACACACTCAAAAACTGAATGCGTATTCAACTTGCATCACACACCCTGTGATACCAACAGAGAGTCATCGATGCAAACAACAGTGGAAACGACATCTGACATAAGGATCAGAAAGAGCAGTTCGTAGTAGAACACACGGAACAGTTAAGATATGCAATGTACTGAGCAACCTGAGTGACGAGTGGAAAGGTGTGAAATGCCATCTTGATGAGAAGTTCATCATGGAGAATGAATGCCTTTGACCCTGATGGAGCCAACTAAGTGTGGTGGTGCTCTTGTGCGGGCCCCAAGCTATGATCTCAAAGGCTGCTTTGCCTGCCTTGAGGATTGGGGTGACAAAGAGGAGAGGACGGTGTTGGATGATAGATAGAATGTATAGAATGAAAGCCACAGGACTCAACATCGAAGCTAGGTTTCTCCAAGGCGCCTGCCTGGTAGGTTGTATGATTCGACGGCCGACGGGCCTCACTGTTGCTTTAACGATTCGAATCAGATGCATCGTGGGATGTCGGGCTTGTGACTCGAGATATGAGCAGGCAGGCCTTATTGTCGCTTCCGCTTTTCGAGAACAACTTTCTGGTCGATGTTATCAAATATGAAATATGCGTTGTATGTACTCACGAGGCTGGGCAATATGCACCTCCTGGCCTAGGAATATAGTATCACGTGTAACCTGTATAGTCTCCAGAGGTTAACAAACCTCAAGATGCCATCGGTTTCCCAGAGGATTTAGGTGTTTTATTTTTATTTTCGGCAGACAGAAAATTCTCTGTCATTAGCGATGCGGCCCAGCATCGAGTGCATGCCAGCATTATCCTTGGAATACCATGATACTTGTATATCACGCCGTGGATCAGACGGTGGCCAGGTTACCAGCGCCTCGGGTATCATTGAATTCGGAAATGCAGAATCTTGGCGTGTGTCCTGCTTCTATAGATGTATCATACCATTTGCAGGCTTCAACGCTGTGAGCAAGCAGAAACTCCTCAAGACAGGACGACATACCGGGACAAACTGCCGCAGCCGGACACCAGCCTGCCTGAAGACGTCCGCTGTATCTCCATCCATGCAATAGCCTTGGCTGTAAACCACCTCGCTGATTCCTACCTGCGCAATCTTGATACTGCACGTAAGACACGGGCATGTGTCACAGTAGAGGATGGTTCCCTCCCTGATCCTCCCTCTGCCAGCCTCGAGCAGGGCATTTTCCTCGGCATGCAAACACAGACAGGTACCCAGTCCAACACCTGAGCCTTGGCCCTCGTTACATCTTGGACAGCCTCCATCCGCGCAGTTCTTGAGGCCCTTTGGTGTGCCATTATATCCTGTACTGATGACCCTCCTGTCTTCCACTATGACGCACCCGACTCTCCTCTTCATGCAATTGCTTCTTTGCGCTCCCAGAGACGCTAGCTGCATGAAATAAAGGTCCCAGTTCGGCCGTAGCCTGTCATTATTTAGCAAGTTCACCCCAGACAGCCTGGCATAGAAGTGTGCAATATCTGATGAAGTATTCAACAGCTTGATCGTAGCGCGGCAAATGAGAGGGAGGAGGCCATCCTGAGAATTGTATAGTTGCTCATCCGAATCCAGGACGAAATCTTCGAGGCTAGGAATATCTTGGGGGGATGCGCCTTTGCTTTGCATTCGGTCTTTCAGCCGCTTCCACCGCACATGGACAGGCGCATCTACGCTGACCAGTATGAAGAATGGACGCCTGTCGAGTTGATCGAGGATCTCTTCGGATTGGATGTCTGTTATGACCCAGAGACTCTGCCAATTCTTCGTGACAAAGTCTAATAGATCATCTGCGGTATCGAAGGTACGTTCCTTAGGGGTACTCGTACTGGTGCCGCTGACGTTCGCGTATGCTGGCCTAGTCTTCTTCCCCTTCTCATGCTCGTCTTGCTTCACGATGTTCAGCCCCGAAAGCTCGTTCAAAGGCTCTAATTGTAGGTGTAGCTGAGTAAAGGCATGGTGTTTGGTGAGGTAGTCGGCGATTGTCTGTTTGCCGGAGCAGATGCCTGGGAAAGAGCTCAGTCAGTATCGTGGTGGTTGAGTGTACTTAATATCCATTTACCTCCACATAGCCCGATCAACATGCTGTTTCTGGCGAAAATACGCGGATGTGCAGTTGATCTCGAGGTAAAAGCTTACCGGCAAGTCAACATCATATAGGGTCTGTGAGAACAAAGAGAGTCTGGAGGAGAAAGGGTGTCGTTGTAAACACGCTACGCGCCAAGATTCACCCCACCAAGCGCGTTAAGGATCCCGGGGTTCACCCGAAGGGTACTTAGCACGTGACGGTCACGGTCACAGTCATGGTCACAATCACCTGGAAGTCGAACTCATGATCAGATCGATCTCTGCAATTTTGTTAAATCACAAGAGCCGACACTTTGATCGACTCTCCCTTTATTAACTACTCACAGCAAAATTTGTTCCTGGACTCCTGCAGATATCAACAGATCGAACTCTCCCGTCCAATTCTTGTTGCGAAACTGCCCCTCTACTGTCTCCCGATACCGTCTACCATTTTTCCCTTTCCAGCAGCTAGCTGGAGCTCAGCGCAAGATGGCTCTCAAGTTCGCGCCCTTTGGGTCGGAAATCGAGCTTCCTTTCTACACGGCTTTGTCGCAGTTCAAAATCGACTTTGATAAACTCGACGACTCGGCCCGACCTGTGCTCGGCTTGTATGAGCCGCGTATGACCCCAACCCCAGAAGAGAGTTGCCGGATGCAGGTTCTCGGGAATGCCTTAACAAGCGAGGAGTAAGTCCTGCATCCCGCCCGAATAGTATATTGATAGGTACGGGCAGCGTGTTGACCTATGCAGTGTCCCGGCCGGCTACATTCGAGCAGAGGGGAAGATCAAGAATGTGAACACGATCGAAGACTTCAAGAACATGGACAAAGCAGCCATGTTGCAAACTGCAGCCAAGCAAGTGAGTCTGATATTGAGGCCCTTTCAGGTCAGAAAAGCGTTAATATTTCCAGATCTGGGATGCCATAAACGACGGCACCATCTACTCCATTCCGTCACTTCTCTCCTCCTTCACAATTCTCTCATTCGCGAACCTCAAGAAGTACACATTCACCTACTGGTTCGCGTTTCCAGCCCTGCATTCTGAGCCCGTTTGGAGGCAAGTTGAAACAGCCAACCCCGGTCAGATGACTGGCAAGGAGACAACTGCTCTTGCTGAGGAGGTTGGAACCTGGCGGTACGCTACTGACCAGAGAGAGCATGGTTTCTTCCTAGTGAAGAAAGTATTTCAATCATCCTCGCGGGGTGGAAGGCCGGCTACGCCCGGAACTCCAGGTGAAGAGCTGGGCTACAGATGGGTCGTTGGTTCACTGAGGAAGTTTGAGAACGGCTTTTTCGACGGTGTTCCTACGGGAGACCAATATGTTGCATTTGTCGATCCATCCACGTACCCTGAAAATCCAGGTTGGATGCTGCGGAACCTTCTGGTACTAATCAAGCGACGATTCAAGCTTAACAGAGTCCAAATTCTCTGCTACCGGGATACCCACTCGAGAAGACATGAGGCGAGAAGCCGGATCATTGTCCTGGAGACTGAAGGGGTGGTCTCTGACAGCGACGTAATGCCCAAGGTGACGGGCTGGGAGCGTAACAGCAACCAAAAACTGTCTCCGAAGACCACCAACCTGGCCCAGTACATGGATCCAACGCAATTAGCAGACCAAGCAGTCGATTTGAACTTGAAGCTCATGAAGTGGCGTATCGCTCCAGATCTGAACCTTGAGAAGATCAAGAACACAAAATGTCTTCTCCTTGGTGCCGGTACACTCGGTACCTATGTTAGTCGACTTCTGATGGGCTGGGGGGTAAGAAAGATCACTTTCGTCGATAACGCCTCTGTCTCATTTTCAAATCCCGTCCGCCAGCCGCTGTTTGACTTTAAAGACTGCATAAATGGCGGAGCCAAGAAGGCTGAAAGAGCATCCGAGGCACTTCAAGAGATATATCCTGGAGTGGATAGCAATGGCCACGTCATGTCGGTGCCTATGCTGGGGCATCCTATCACTGACGAACAAAACACTCGCGTAGACTTCGAGCTTTTGGAGAAACTGATGGAGGAACATGATGCCATCTTTCTGCTCATGGACACGCGTGAAAGTCGCTGGCTCCCAACAGTATTGGGAAAAGCAAAGAACAAGCTCGTTCTGAATGCAGCACTAGGATTCGATACCTGGGTTGCTATGCGGCACGGTGTCTTTGCAGAAGATGGTGGCCCTGCAGCACTGGGGTGTTACTTTTGTAACGACGTCGTGGCACCTGCAGATGTGAGTTTTCTCACTTCGGAAAATACCAGCCATGCTAAGACCGTATATAGTCTATTAAGGATCAAACGCTTGATCAGCAGTGTACAGTCACACGTCCCGGAGTAGCACCTACTGCCTCAGCTCAGCTAGTCGAGCTAATGACATCGGTACTGCAACATCCTGATGGCGCTCGAGCACCCGCTCCGAAGATATCTGCAAATCAGTCATCGAACGGGCGGGTCGAGTTTGAGCGTGAGCCTCCGCATCACCCGCTGGGTATCATTCCGCATCAAATCCGTGGTTTTATGGCAACTTTCCAGAACATCCCGATCAGCGGGCAGTCGTATGACTGCTGCTCTGCATGCTCCCCCAAGATCGTTGAGGAGTACAAACGCTCAGGATGGGAGTTCATCAAGCGTGCTTTGACCGAGAAGGACTATATTACCGAGCTAAGTGGTTTGGCGGAGGTTCAACGCCTGGCCGAAGCGGCTGCCGGTGATATTGATTGGGATAGTGAGGCAGATTTGGATGAAGAAGAAGGGGAGGGCGAGCTTTTGTGAACCAGAAAGCACATCATGAACCGAATGACGGGCTACGGGCTTCTACGATTTGATGAGGCGTTTGGGATCATGCATTTGGGCCGGAGAGTACAGGTGGGCGTGGTTACCTTTTGGCGGATCGGGCGGCACTATGATGGACTTTTGATCCAGCTGTTTGTTGATTGACGAATTGAACTTTCGGATTATTGCCATGCCATCTGCTTTATTACAGAATTCTGGTGTCGTTCCAATGCTGGTTTCACGTGACTATCTTTGACGGACCCACCTACGAGTCGCCGCCAAACCAAGCTTCAGAGAAGTTCCCAAAAAATGTAAGAGCCTCATTTGCATTCGATTGACCTCCACCAGCATGATCCTGTGAGTGCGCGTACATCTGCGAAGCTCTCCCGAGCCATACTGATAACAAACATATAGATACTGTACATAATTCACATTCTTTAAGCTATGCGCTCCCACTTAACACGTAGCGTGTTCCGCCGCCTCCTATCCAGCGAAGGTCTTATTCTCCACTGTCCCTCCCAAGCTGCCCTTCTTTCACGGCATTCCCGTCGCCATGGATCTCCATTCGCCGTTCGACTTCCAGCAAGGAGAACTCTCTTTGGTTTCTCGGCCAAAGCCCCCCGACAGCCAAAAGAACCCTCGCTACCCCCTGGACTAAAGATGATGCTGGAGTTGAGTTTGATGGAAAAGATGCAAGTCCGGCCCCCTAAAGCAAGCGATATTGTAAAGGCGTGGAGAGCATACTTCGAGTTTAAGAGCAAGAGGAAAGAGGGGTTTAACAACATGCACGCTCTGCACGCCCTGAGGGCATTAAAGCATCTGCAGAAGCTCGACAGCGACGAAGAGGATTCCCGGCTGAGCATTGAGGATCTGCGGCTAGCATCGGTCTCCATACAGATTCTGCCGAAGAATCATCCGGAAACGCATGCTGAGCTGGCTCGACTCTTGTATGCGGAGTGGGTGAAAGCCCCGGCCCCGGATGAACAGCGACACGAGGACTTTAGATGGCTTATCGACATTCTGTCACGGACGGGCAACGCATTGGAGGCTCGGGAGCTGGTTCAAGCTCGTGATCTTGGAGAGGAGGCGGAGGGAGATAAACGCCGAAGGGCAGCTTGGAACATGGTGCTGGATGGCTTCGCAAGGGAAAACAACGAAGCAGAGCTGCTGAAGACACTGGCGATGGGAGAAGAGACTGCGGATATCCTGTACCATTGGAAAATTCATTCGACGATGGTGCAGTTCTATGCCTCGAGAGATGATGTAGAAAATACCAAGAAGTGGTATTCGAAGCCCATCGTCAGTGTTTCGAGGTCAGGCAAGCGTGTTTATCCGTCTACTCTCGCTGCAGTTCTGAAATTCAGTGTGCGGAACAATGAGCTGGAGTGGTGCAAGACTGTCTTTCGCGATGTCTTGGAGACCAACCCCGGCAAGAAGTGGTGGGATGTAATTCTCCTCTGGGCAGCTGGTGCTATGGGTAAGGGAGTTGAGGATGTCGAACGTATGATTGATGTCATGATCCGTCGCAGCGATCCCAAACATCCCCAGCAGCCTGATATTGTTACCATCAATGGGCTTGTCGAACTTGCCATGTCCTTGAAAGACCCATATCTGGCAGAACGATATATTGCTCTTGGGGTGAAGTATGGGATCCAACCTAATGCTCAAACACATATCATGCAAATGAGTTATAGAGCCGATGCCAACGATCTACGCGGTGCTCAAGCTGCATACGATTCCTTGCAGATTCAAGAGGTCGAGAACGATGAGGATCTTCCAGCCATCAACAAGCTCCTCCGTGCCCTCTGCGCGTCGAAAAAGGACAATTACAGTCGCATTACATCCATCACCCTCGATCTGGAGGAGCGAGACAAGAAACTCGAAGCAAGCACAGTATCAGCCCTCACCAAAATGTACCTTGAGCGCGACGAAACTAACGAGCTCATCGACCTCCTGCAAACCCAAACCTTTCACTATACACTCGAGGAGCGTGCCGGTATCATCAACAACATGATAAATTTCTGCATCGACCCGGACACCAACACCGTACGATCCTGGGAAGCCTACACCATCATGCGGCAAATCTTCGACGAGACGACCACCGAGCAGCGCACCCAGATGATGAATGAGTATTTCTCCCGGGACCGCTGCGACATGGCCTGCCACGTCTTCGGGCACATGCGCCAGCACAACGTGCTCTCCCGGCGGCCCAAGCTAGAAACATACGTGCAGTGTTTCGAGGGCATCGCGCGGTGCGAGGACCGCGAGAGTCTGGACATGGTGCACAACATGCTCAAAATGGACAGCTCGATCGAGCCGAACACCAAACTCTACAACTCGCTCATGCTGGCCTACACCGCTTGTGATGATGCAGACCGCGCGCTGAATTTCTGGGACGATATTACGAATACGGAAGAAGGGCCCAGCTACAAATCTCTCGAGATTGTGTTCTGGGCCTGTGGACGCAAGCCGTTTGGGGATCGCAAGGCGAGGGATGTGTGGGCGAAGATGCGCCGGATGGAGATTGAGATTACGCAGAACGTATTTGCCGCGTATGTGGGGGCGCTGGCTGGGCAAGGGAAGTTTGAGGAGGCGCGGGATATGGTGGAGGGGGCGGAGAAGGACTTGGGGCTTAAGTTGGATGTTCTGACGTGCGTTCTCCCACATTTCACAGCCCTTCACCATCACCCTCTGCATCAACACTTCTGTTCCCTTCTTTCCGCGGTCAAATTCAGAACTTTGTATCCAGCTAACGCACCCCCACAGTCTAGGCACGTTTTACAACTCCATACCATCGCAAAACCGCAAGGACCTCGTCGAAGAGTGGGCCAAAGCCCTCTACCCTTCCGTCTGGAAGGAACTATCCGAGCTGGGACAGACGACGCAGGAAGAAGGGCATCGGCTGTTTAATATGAAGATTGAGAGGAGGGCTTAGTTAGTCAGCATGGGCAATCTGGGGGACGGGGGGATGATGTATGCATAGATGGATGGCATTGACACCCCTATTTGAAATCTAGCTGCAAATCGGCAGTAGGTCGAATACAATAAATAAGTCCCTTGAATCTCATCGTTGGCTCGCTAGCCAGCCAGCCAACCAGTGTAGGAGCTGTCTCTCATCTAGTGCTCATATCTGCGTTTAAGCGAAGTGAAGCGATTGATCTGAGCCGCGCACAGGATTGAGAGAGAGGGGAGGGGTTGGTCTGATTGTATGAGGGTGGGATTGGATTAAGGGGTTGTGGTGATGATGATGATGATGATGATGTTGAAAGGATTATGATAATGGTAATGAAAGAAGGTATTGCCAGATAGAGGTATTTTGGAGTTGAAATGGGTGGATTTCGAGTTTATAGTTAGCGATGAATTAAGGACAAAACTGACTCTTTAAAGTTAAGAATTGAGACAGCATACGGTACAACGTCTTTAATATACCTCTGTGATCCTTTGTATGATAGCGTGGACTCTACTCTATCGTATTTATCTGCGATAGACTCCTATGGACGAGAATACATGTTTTCAAATTTCTTGTCTGGAATATCGGATAAGAACGCTAGTTATATCTATCTACCGGAAAGGTCCCGTTGTTAGGAGCAGTCAGTCTCTTGAGCTGAAGAGGGTTGAGGAGAAGCTGGCTTGTACGATTGACTAACTTCAAGTTCAAATAACGTGAAGAAGGCAACTACTTGAAATACTAGATGCGGCTTGAGATAACTTCACAGACTCCGATGCTTATACTTATTTTAGCTTTAATATTGTTTTGTTGGAAAGCTGCTGCGCTCGCTCGCTGGGGTATTTATACGAGATACTACCGAGTTTTCTTCCCGGACAGCTGCGCATCAGGATCAGTGAATATGGTAGCTGTGAACTCCTCATAGATAGAGTTCTTGATGGAAGAGAGATCGCTACTGCAGGCAGCCTGGCCAATCGAAGCTGCTGTGTATAATAGCCTGGCTAATGTGTTTGTCAGTCCACTAGAGTATTCACCGCGCCTTTGACCGGGAAAGTCTAGCCTGGTATCATGATCTTGACGGATCCGGAATTGAACTCTGCCAGCTTGTTCTCAACAAGACTTTTCATTATAGCCGGAGGCAATAGCTCCCCCAATCTGCTCTTAATTGGAACATCATAGTCTGGCTCGAGGACGCATACGCTAGCAATCAAATAGTTAGAAATTCAGTCAACAACTTGAAAACCCTCCCGTTCCCCTGGTCTGTAGATCATGTGTATATCATGCAAGAAGCCTGGAACAGATGTCTTGATCACGTTCGCTTCCTCTCACCCGCCAGTCCGCCAAGATGAGTAGCAGAATATTTTCCCTCCAGAATACTAGGTGATGATCGTCTCCTCCCGCAACCCATCCTCTCTGATGCTGGGTTTGCAGTAACACAAATCTAATGAAGGTGATTCACATCGAGAATGCCTCTTCAGTCGATGTACAACAGCTCGCTTACGGCTCGTCCTCAACTCGATGTCCAAGCTTCACTCATCGGTATGGGCTTAGGCTTGGAAACCAGCCATTGTGAAATGCTCTGATCTGGTAGCAAGGCTGTTCTTGTGTTTAGGGGTTCGCCGACTGGACCTGCGTGCAACTGTTACGGTACCACTGTACCTGCGTTTCTGATTGATTGATTGTCCTGACCCTCTTCCCACGTCACACACGAACACAGGTGAGCCCGCTACACCGAGAAAACATTGTGTTCAACATGAGAACTGATCATTGCCTTATCCAGCGTACCGATCGTAGCTGCAAACTGCCGCGGCCGATATACTCGATATGTCGAAGCGACCATGATATGCGTCTTCAACCGGTCCGCTGGGCCCCCGGTGTTGGTGCTACTGGAGGCACCACCAACCTTCCACCAGCCTTGCTCTGAACTGAAACTAGATCTTATATAGTCGTCAATCTATCCGGCATCTGAGCATCTGCCGTGGCCATTCCAAACTTCATCTCCCTCGCCTCGAGCACCTTGGCTAAAAACACCTTTTGAATCCCCAAACCGAGCTCATGTCGTCTAGTAGCAGTACCTTGAAGCCCGGAAGCTCGTATGAAGAGAAGAGCATTGGAGACTTGCGAAATGTTCGGACTACTTCGGGGGTACCAAGAAACCCACATTATTATGAACTCGAAGGACTCCGAACCGAAGGAGACGGACAAGACCACACGGCATATAACATCGTAGGCCTTCAATATATCCAGAGATAGAGAGCTTCAACGCTGATGTAGATACGTACAGGGCTCAAGTGGATTTATCATGACACTACTCGGCTGCTCATGTGGACTCGCCGGAGCCATCATTGTGCCATTGCTCTACCTCACTCTGGGAACCACCATTGCGTACGATCTGAATGCCACGACGTCGACCCTCTGGATGTTTACCTCGATGATCATCGCGGAAGGCGCTCTCGCACCATTCGTCGGCCCACTGGCAGACCTCTTTGGCCGGAAGCCGATCTTCATAGCCGGCGTCGTCGTGTCGGTCACTGGCGCCATACTGTGCGCCGCCACCCCCAACGCGGCAGGATTCATTGCTGGACAGGTTCTCCTCGGGATGGGCGCCATCATCCAGGAGCTACTTGCCATCGCGATCGCCGTTGAGATCGTCCCCACGGCCAAACGCAGTCTGTACTCGGCCTTGATTCTCTGCGCTCTGATCCCCTGGTCTCCTTCCACATTGTACGCAAACTGGATTGCCACCTCTTCCTGGCGGTGGATTGGACTGGTCATTGCGCTGTGGAACCTCCTCACCGTGGGCATCATAGCATTCTTCTACCACCCTCCCCCCCGAGTCAACTCCCTGGGTCTGACGCGGAGAGAAATGATCGGCCGGATTGACCTGGTCGGCGGCTTCCTCCTCACCACCGGCCTGCTCTTGTTCCTGGTCGGGCTCAACTGGGCCGGCGGGCAAGGCTACCCGTGGAACTCGGCTCACGTCCTCACGTTCCTGGTGATCGGTGGCAGCATGATCTTGGGATTCGGGGCCTACGAATTCTTCGTCGCGCCTTACCCGCTCTTCCCCAGGCGAATGGTACACGCACCGCGGCCATTCTTCTGCATGCTCTACGTGATCTTCGCCGGCGGTATCAACTTCATCCCTCTGACGGCATTCTGGCCCATCGAGTCCATCGCCGTCTTCCAGACGGACCGGTATCAGACGGGTATCAACACTTTGCCGATCGGGATGGGGATTTCCATAGGTGCGATCGTGTCGGCGTTGCTGCTTTCCTTCGTCAAGGGCTACATCGCTTATCTGATGGCGTTCTTCTGCGTGATGCAGACCGTCGGTCAGTCCGCTCGAGCACAACGCACCACAACTACATGGTGTTCTGACTGACAGACTCTAGGCTCTGCGTGTATGGTTCTTATCAACCCTGACGACGTGCGGACAGCTTTTGGCCCTCTCATGCTGGCCCTGATCGGAGTCGGAGGCGTCATCGTCCCCAACCAGGTCCGTATATACGTCTCCTCGTCGCCTTTTCTTAAGTCGCCTCTCTCACAATCCAACGAGAAACTTCCCTATCTACTTTACCCACCTTACTAACCCATCCCATCACGAGAAAACAGGTCATCATAACCGTCATCACCCCCGACGACCTGATCGCCTCGGTCACCGCCCTCACCGTCGGCCTGCGCTGCCAAGCCCAGGTGATCGGCCTCGCCATCTTCTTCAACCGCTTCACCCACGCCGTCACCCAGCGCGCCGCCACCACCCTCGTGCCGGCCGCCCTGCAGATCGGCGTCTTCGACGTCGCCAAGATCGAGGCCATGGTCCGCGGCCTGACCGCCATGACCGTCGAGGAGTACGCCGCGGTCCTCCCGGAGCTGTCGGCCGGCGCGGGGAATGTCCGGCTCGTGGTTGCCGCCGCCCAGGCGTGCTTCGGGGGCGCGTTCCGGGTCGTCTACCTCGTTACGATTGCGTTCGGCGTCACGGCGTGCGTGGCGTCGCTGGGGATCGGGGATCTGGGCAGGTATCTGGATGATCACGTTGCTGTAGTGCTGTGATGAAGAGGGGGTGGGGGTACATGTCTTTTGTTCTGCTGTTCGTCACGGGGCGGGAGCTGGGTTCTGTCTAGTGCCGTCTGAAGCTTCATCGTTTTCTTTTACGATCGTGCGACTGTTTAGCCCGAATAAAGCTCAGGCAAGAGACCCTCGCTAGGTGAAGCGAGCGAGCGAGCCCTTGCAATCTCCTTGGTGAAGCGAGCCCTTGAGATCTTGTTTACCTACATAGCAAGCACAGTTCGATTTCGTTTTTCCCCCTGGTATCGGCGTCAAGGGGGATAAGAACAATGAAAGAATGAAAATGTTATTATCATTTGTAATTTCGCTCTTGAAGTCTTTAGGACCTCGACTTTACATATCGGCTCTACTCAGCAAGCTACCGTGTGCAACTCGGATACTCTAGGCTAACAGCCGAATTACCTCACTCTGTATCGTCTTTGATGATTACTAGCTCTCATTACAGTAATATAGGTTTCATTAGTTCATATCGCGATTGGACGGAAGTGAGTACGCCTTGCACGCGGCATCAAGGGAACTTTTTTGTCATCCTCTTCGCTAGTTGCATCATTAACAACTCGAGCGAATCGTCTTTTTGTAAAACCGCTTCATATCTCTTCAAGTCTGATAAAATTTCTGTTGAGTATGAAATGAATGTGTTGAGGTTGGGAGTCGCTTAGAGCATCAGCAAGGAGCAAGTCCCGGTAACGCTAGGTACCGGTAGTTCGTAGTGCTCGGCACCCGGACATTCAATCATCCGCGGAAGTCCAGCTCCGTACATGCTCATCGATTAAATCCTCAATCCAAACCCTTGGGATAGTCCAGTAACTTGAGAATCTCCATTTGCATCCCACACAGCGAACTATCACCAAGATGGCGGATCGCCCACTCCTCCCCAACGGCCTCCCGGACGTCCAACGCCTGATCACCACCCACGACGCATCCGGAAAAGCGATCTTCGCGAGGGACATACCTTCGACCTCGTCCTTCCAAGAAATCGGATCGGACTTCCAGTTCTTCCTCGGATACACGACGAAAGGGTTCCCCGTCGATCTGAACGCCCCCGACGAGGCAGATGCAAAAGCAGGTGCCGCCGCGGTACCGACGGACATCCAGCGCTACACGGAAGATCTGCAAGCCCCGCCCGCAGGACTGAGTATCGACAACGGTGCGTGCGCCACCGAAGATTCGCATCTCTTCTGCAGATGAAAGAGTGAAAGTTGAATGAGATTTTGATTGCAGGTACCGCCCTCCGCTTCGTGGACTTTGCGCCGGCCACAGCCCCCTTCATGCACCGCACCGAGTCCATCGACTACGGCGTGGTGCTGGAGGGCGTGATGGAACTTATCCTCGACTCGGGCGAGACGAGGATCATGCGCAGGGGCGATGTGTGTGTCCAGCGGGGCACGATGCACGCGTGGAAGAACATCACGGAGAACGGCGGGTGGGCGCGCATGCTGTTCAGCTTGGTCGCGGCCGAGAAGGTGGTTGTCGGCGGCCAGGCCCTGGGTGCGGATCTGTCGGGAGAGGCGGGTGGGAAGGGCGTTGATGGGTGATTGATCAGGATGATATATCAAGTCCTGATGAGTATGATTTTGGACTATAAAGCCAGCGATTTGTTGAGAGCTTAACGATGGGCGAAAGTGTTGAGATAACATCACTTCTGAACCATTCTCTACATTCGAAGTTTTTCATCTATATATTTATATTTTTTAAAAACACACCTTGACGAGAAGTGACTCTGGACTCGGATTGAGGTTCAGTTCGTTGACTGCAGCATCCTCTCTTCACTTATTTACTTCCTCTCCAGGCTCAGTGCGGGGTAAAATTCTACCCCGCATTAAACCTGAAGCCCTCAAGGTTAGATAGATACGAAGTAGGTAACCTGCTATTCCTCTATCTAGCTACAACCGCGTTGAATATAAAACTGACTCGGTCTTTGAAGCATCCGAAATGCAGAAGCATTTGCAAAGCAGACTTATGTAAGAAGGGTATGTTCTTGATAGGATATATCTCTTCTGAGTAACCAGCGGGAATGACTTTCGCCGTCGCTCGCGGGTTTGGTTGAGAGCCTAGAGGATATGATGAGGGGTTGGGGACTAGGTAGCTGAGGAGGATTTCTGAGCTTAGGAAGATGGTGTCGAGAGGGAGCTTCAAAATTTATTAAAGACGCTTTTCAGCATGTTGTCAAGGTCAGGAATGGCAATGTCCTCGGTTAGCTTAGCTTGCAGAGTAGGTACGGATAGGGTCAGTATTGACGATCGGGGGCAGGCTATTATTAGGTATAAGCGCATTGAGCTTCATTCGTGATGGAGTGGTGAGGCTGGAGGTTAGAAGATCGTTCGATGACTGCTGGAATTCGCGGGTATTTAATAGATATCCGAACGCTAGGCGAGAGGCTCGCTTGGGTTATTGATATAGACACGTGATGCTGCATTTGGAGAACTGCTTCGGTCCTGATAAGTAGCCGTGCCTTTTTGTATTCAGATCTAGATTGAATGAGATGAATTGTAGCTGAAGCCATACCTATATGCGAACGTTACGTTCAGAAGAACAAGGTAAGCGTGATCAACTTTCCTAGACAGCCGAGGGGTGTAAGGGGTCCGACACGGGCCAATGACACGCTTTGACTTGAGACCCGCTTAGCCGAGAAGCTGATATAGGTAGGTAGTTGCTTTTGCCTCGGTTTTCTAATTCCACGCCTTTCTTCATCGTTACTCCAGACGTGAGTCCTTACAGACGCTACAAACTTCATAATTGATACCGAAATGCTGCATCTCTCTCGCCTTCGACTATTCCGACCGCCGTGAAGTTATATATCTCATTCGATCATAGCTTGACCGGTACACGCGCAGAATCAAACCCCTTTGCTCCATGACTCGCGCTTCCCTTAGCAGAGCCACAAGAAGATATACTCAAGTAGTAAACAATATCAAGGGGAAGTCGCCCCAACCTGTATTATAATCGATCGCTCTTACCTCAAGAATCTCAACAATATCATAATGATGCCGCCCTTCCCAATGGCTATCAACGCCGTCGTGGCGATACTTGATGGGAGCCCTTCGGAGCCCGTTATTCTCACCATGATTATATCTTATGTAGCTTCATTCATATCCCTACTCTTTTCATCACCAGTTTCAACATCAAAAACAACTTCCTGCTGGCGCGACACTCCTTGCAATGTGCGGACAGCATCTTTTAGCGGGCCCTGGGACACCAACAATTACTCGCCCAAAACAAGGACCGTATCGCCCGTGACGATATTTACCGAAGACTTCTCCGTCTCCATGAAATACCCCAAGACAGCCGACCTGTCTTCCAATGTCCTCATCTACGACTTTGGAAAGGAAGTGGGTGGCATCGTCACCGTCTCATACGAAGCAACCGGATCCGGACACTTGGGCCTCGCGTTCTCAGAAGCGAGGAACTGGACCGGCCGAGCATCAGATGGATCAAATGGACGATACATCCCCCGAGGCGATGGCGCTCTATTCGCTCCAATCGATAATAGTACCCAGTCGGGAACGTACACGATGCCCGACGAGAAAATGCGAGGCGGTTTCCGATATCTGTCTCTGTTCACGACCACCGACCAAGCGATCAAAGTTCAAATCACATCAGTCACCCTGGAGCTTTCGTTCCAGCCCACTTGGTCTGATCTTCGAGCGTACGGCGGGTACTTCCACTCCAGCGATGAGCTCTTGAACCGGATCTGGTATGCGGGCGCGTACACACTGCAGACGAACGCCGTCCCACCTCGTACCGGTCGCGTGTGGCCGCTCCTGGAGAAGGGCTGGAGAAACGATGCCTGGCTGGGCACCAACGGCTCGAGCATCTTCGTCGATGGGAGCAAACGTGACCGAGCTACGTGGGCGGGGGATCTGGGAATCGCATTGCCCAGTGCTTTTGTCAGCACTGGAGATTTCGAGAGCGCCAGGAATGCGCTGCAGCTGCAGTATGATCTTCAGGTACGCTCTTTCGAATCGTCTTTCGATCGTTTGTGTTGACAGTAATCAGTCCGTTCATGGCGAGCTTCCGGTGGCTGGACCCCCTCTGAACTTCTTTGGGTCGGATACTTACCACATGGCTTCGCTGATCGGAACGTATGAATACCTTCTTTACAGCGGAGATATGGAGTTTCTTGCTGCCAACTGGGCCAAAATCAAACTTGCCATCAGATACGTCAGCAACAAGATCGATCCGAGAAGCGGCGCCCTGTACGTGACTGGCGAGGCAGATTGGGGCAGATACGCTCAAGGCGGCTTCAACACGGCAGCAAATGCAATGATGTTTCGGACTTTGATCACCGGCAATCTCATGGCCGGATGGATGGGTCAGCCAGGTCAAGGTGCTCGCTGGGAAGAAATGGCCAACGTCCTGAAGGCGTCGATGAATTCCCCGGCGCTCAATTGGGACCCGGTGGTGGGAGCGTTCAAGGACAGCAACATCGACGCATCAGTCTACCCAGAAGACGGCAACAGTCTCGCATTGTACTACGACATGGCATTTCCCACCTACTACCGAAACATCAGCGACCGGCTCGTCACCAACTGGGGCCCTATCGGCGCCAAGTGCCCCGAGCTATCCTTCAACATCGTGCCCTTTATCGAAAGCATGGAGATCAAAGGCCACCTGGCCATCGGCCAGACCCAGCGCGCCCTCGCCCTCATCCGCCGCAGCTGGGGCTGGTACCTCAACCACCCCTCGGGCACCCAGAGCACCTTCATCGAAGGCTACCTCGCGGACGGCTCCTTCGGATACCGCGCCTGGACCGGCTACGAACACGACTACTCCTACACGTCGCACGCCCACGGCTGGAGCACCGGGCCCACGCACGCCCTGAGCCACTACGTCCTGGGGCTGCAGCTCGCCTCCCCCGCCGGCGCGGACTGGATCCTGGCGCCGCAGTTCGGCGACCTGACGTCTGCCCAGGGCGGCTTCACCACGCCGCGGGGCCCCTTCTCGGCCCGGTGGGCGCTGCGTCCCGGCGGCTACGATCTCACGTACGATGTCCCCGTCGGGACCGCGGGCACGCTCCGGCTGCCTGCCGGGTCGACGACGGGGCCGGTGCCGCGGGTCACCGTGGCTGGGGAGGTGCGTCTGGTTGATGCGTACGAGGTTGAGAAGGGGGTTGCTACGCTTCTGGGCGCGGTGGGGGGGAAGGTTGCTATTCGGGTGATGTATGATTGACGGCGGCTGCTGCTGCTGCTAGGGACGGGGGGGATGATGGGGGACTTGAGGGGGGGGAGAGGGGGGGAAAGGGGGGAGCGTAGTTGTATAATGGTCGATATCCTGTTTGGATAGCGATAATAGCGATAATAGCGATAGGTAATGGATATGCATACACTTCTTTACCTTTTTTTTTTTTTTTTCGTTTCCCCATAAGATTGTATCATGCCTTTTCTGTGCGTGTGCTAGATAGA